ATGCTGCTGGGCTCCCAGGCAAAGTTAAGTCTTCAGTGGTGCTCTGGTAGTTTGAGTGATGGCTTTGCAGAAGGCCTGTAAATGTCTTAACAGGATGACAGCCTGCTTTGTTAAATGTGTTTTCTGGTTCTGCCAACATGTCAATAGTTTTCTGTCAATCAATGGCCACAGAAGTATTTGCTCTAAAGGAGGTACAAAAATGACCAGCATCTCAGAAGTGAGGAAGAGAGTTCTTAAATATATCTACCTAACTCACCCTAAAGGTGTTGGGGGGGTGGGGCAATGTCACCCTGTTGGTGAAATCTTTTCTAAACAAATGGCTTTTCTTCCAGGAAGGTGCTTCAGCTAATGTCCCACATAGCACAAATAACTGGACAGTTTCTTCTCTATACTGGAACGTATATGTTGCAGTTGATGGATGAATATGATGAAGATGGCACGTGTACAAGACCAAGGCGGGACCAGTGAACACAGCTGCACTTCTGATATCGGATCCTTCTGCTTAAAGACATTATCTTGCCCAATTTTGATTGTAATGATGTTATAGCAGGGGGATGTCTACTGATGTGAACTAACATTTTTCCCGTTTGGGAATGCTTGTAGGCCTTAGTCATAAAATAAGTGTTTGGTGTTTGCAGGCTCTTAACGCAGCAAAAGGATGGCTGCCTAATGTCTGAGAATCTGGCAAAAGGAGAGAGGGCAGGTTTTTGCCCCAGCAACTCAAACTGGAGAATAAGTATACTTGGAAACTTGCATGCTTTGTATCCAGTGGGGTATTTCTTGCACTGATCAAAACATAGTTTGGTTGGTTTTTTTCATGGCTGTCTACTTGCCTTCTGAACAGACTGGGCTGTAAGGCAGGGGCGAGGGAGCTGTGTTTTTTTGTTTTTGTTTTTAATCCTTAACAGTGCTGGTATTAGTGTCCAACTGGCATTGAGGTACAAAAGGGTGAAGTGTACTTATTTACTTCTGCTACCAATGGAAATACACAGTACAACTGAATCCTGGTTCAGACTGACCACTCTCATGAAGTCTAATTGGAGAAAGTGCAACTACTAAGCAGAAGCTTAAAATTTAGCCTTACTTCCCTTAAAACAAGTAAAAATGTTTCATTTTAACTCTTTACATTTTTCTTCAAATCAACAGAAAGTTCAGGTTAACATAGCTCATACCAGTTGAAGAAACTGATACGTTTCTTTAATGGGTCCGATGTCCAGTTCTGCCTGAAGTATTGAATAATTTGCTATAGTTTCATGAACATGGCTTACAGGCAACGTGCTGAAGCTTTCTTCAGGGGTTAAACCATCGCTAATGTAGTTTTTATTGTTCAGTTGCAAGATGACACTACGTCTCAAGCTGTATTTGAGGTACACGTAGCATGGATCTGTAAGAGATACTGGATTTTGATGCCCCTGTGCTCAGGGGAGAGCAGCAGGACGCTATCTGGTCTCGTGTAACATACGTATGCTCTAAACTGGATATTTGTGGTTTTATAGTCTCCCAAGACAAGCTGTATTAAAGGCAAAGTTTTTAATCCTTAGATAGAATTGTCCAGAATGTTTTCTGCAGTTTAGTGAACTGCTAGTATGACCAGCTTCCAGCAAGCTTTTCCTCAACAGTGTAGAAAACTGGAAAACGAGCAGTGTTAGGCATCTTGTGTCAAAATACAAACTCCCGTCGCTGAAGGGAAAAAGCCCAGCTTTGGTTGTTCATAGGTGTGGCTTTTGAGGTTTTCACTTGCTTGCTCATGAAGAATTTTAGTAAGTTGTTATATTCTTGCTTAAGACTGAAAGCTGTTAAGGAGACAGCGGATACAGGTAATGTGTCTGGCCTGACGGCGGGTGCCACCTAGGAAGAGAAGCTCTGGTGACAGAGTGAGCAAGTGGGGCAGGGGAAGAAAGCAGTGGGAGCGAAAGGGAAAAGGACCGGTGTGGACCCCACAGTGCTTGCCATGCCTCTGCTGAGACAGGAATCCATAACTATGTGCATCAACTGCACTGATTAGTTGGAGGAAAACCTAATTGTTAAAAGAGGAGCAGGTGGACTGAAAAGACCAAGCATTGTGGTCAGCTGGATCTGTTCACTTCAAATGTCACTAATATGTGAGAATATTGCTCTTGCTTTTATCTGCAAATTTCACCTTTATATGCTTATTTTTGCCTTCTCTTTATGGATGTGACAGCCAGCTGGAGCTGCGTCTTTTAAATCACTGTTGTGATGAAAAGCAGCCTAAATCCAAGCCTAAATCCACCAAGGGACTGGTGGGCACAAGTTCACTAGGTCTCTGCCTGTCTCTTCAGTACAGGTATTGCAAATAAGTAGATAGCCAAGAAAAACCTTGGGTTTCTTCCTGATTTCTGTTGTTTCCCATCTACTTCTGAGTGTTTGCTGAAGAGGGGGGAGGGCACACAGCTCTGGGCAAGGAAAGGACTGATTCTTTCCTAATTTCTCCCAGGGAAGAATGCCTGTAACTTGCAGCACTGTCAAGTTTCCTTCAGAAGAAAACAAACTATTCTGAGTAATGAGAAAGTGGTTACGTTAAAATGGAAGCTTTATACTTAATCTATGTTGTTTTCACCATTCCACCCCCTGCCCTGAGTGATTGTTGCCATGATAACTGTTGGCTAAAGTCTTTCTACCCCTATCAAGGAATTGCATTTAACTCATGCAGTGCAAGGACTTTGTCATTAATTCTTTCAAGTCTTAAGGACCATTTATTCTATTAAAACGAGAACGTCTCTAGAAAGTGAACTCGATGTAATGCTCCTAAGAATATTTATGTTGCTAATGGTGGGAGCACCAACATTAAAAAAAATAAACCAAAACCAAACAAAACCCCAACTTGCATAGTTCAATATTGCATTAATTTGCGTGAAATGCCCCTTCATCTGTATCTCTAATAGGAAAGCTTTTGCAAGTCTGAACTGTGCAGATCTCAAATTCCAGCCTCCTACAGCCGGAGGCAATTGTTACAGACGTAACACTCCATGGTTTCCAATGGTACTATCTTAGAACCTAATGTGATCTAAAAGGCTAACTCAGTATGAATTTGCAATGGTTTTGGGCAGCTTAATGCTTAAAACTTGAGTTGCTGAAGGTCATGTGAGCTGCAAAGTCTACATCTGAGAGCATCTCCCTCCTCTAATTCAAAATGCAAACAGCTGAACAAAGTAACTCAGCTTTGATATTTTCTCAAAATGGGAGAAGTGTCTTGGAATGTTTCAAGTGTCTGAAATTTTCATTGCTTCTAAGCCTGTGGCAAAACCCAGATTCAGTATTTGGGGAATGATACGTGCTACTGTACCAGCGTCTTTCCAGAGATAAAGTTTTGGCTTTGGGTCAAACTGGAGGAGTTTGTAATTCTCTGAGTTGGAGCCAGTTTGATTTTTTTGTGTTGTTTTGTTTTACAGACTGCTTAGGAAGCATAGGTTTTACTTCAGCTGCATGTGGTACACAGCAAAGAACAACTTCAGCATTATCTAGCTTTCAGAAAAGTATATGCAAGTGGTGTACAATATGTAGGAAGAGACAGAAAAACTAAAAGCACAGGCTCTTAACTGCAGGTATGTAGAGAAGTAAGTAGCTTTTCTACTGACGTTTTCAGCTTTAATTTTTCTTTCCATAAGCTCAGTTAATCTGCACTTGTTAGTGTTGCAGTCAAGGCTGGTAGTACTGACATGTGGAAGGTGTGAAACATGTTTACTGCCTCCTTGCTTGCGCTGGCCCTTTTTGCCTGTTTCTTTGCATCACTTGCTAACAATGCACCAAGTCATACTCTCTGGTTACCAAAAAAGGAATTTTCACTGAAGTACTCGATCTTGTTGACTCAGGCACTGTTCATGTTCTGCAGGCAAAACAAAGTTGCTCTCTTCATGACTAGAATGAAGGATCTAGTAGCTTTTTTGTGTGTGTAATTTATCATTACTTCATTTCCTTCCTTTCATAAACCCATGAAGCTGTTGCTTGCTTGCACCTTCCTGTTCTTTCAGGAGAAATAGGATTACAAGCTCTTCTGTCCAGGGAGAGAGGAAAAGGCAGGGTCTAAATTCCTCAGACCATTTGGAATATGCTCTAGGAAACATCCTGAATCCCTTCCCTACAGAGAAGGGAAAGGTAAAGAAAGGAAAATAGGACTTTGGGCTGGAAGTTTTTTCAGTACAGTGAGTAGAGAGGTAGGTGTTCACAATTTAGGAAGTGTTGGTAATCCTGAATATTAACTGTGAAGATAACTACGTATGATCATTTGTAACTGACTAGAATTATAACTCTAAATCATTTCAGCATGCTTCTTCCTGAGATAGCACTTGAACTAACTTTAATTCTTTAATTAAAGGCAAAAGAAAGTTTAAAACCAAAGTACTTTTTTTTTTTTTTTTTTTTACTTGATCCCTCAAGTTTTACTGGAGATACTAATGTGATTAACATACCACTTCAGTTGTGTATTAGTAAGTATCCTTGTGGGGTTTAGCATTTATCACTGATGTCTGTACCTTACCTTGTCATATATGCAGTTAAGATATTTATAAACATGAGCATTATTGTTTTGGTAAGGGAAAAGATAGTATTTTACCACTTCACAACTTTCAAGCTCAGTAGTTTAACTTGCTATGAAAACTGAGATGGGTGAGAATTATGTGTCAGTGATGCGAGTATTTTCTGATGGTGGTGTCAATTTGAAGGAACACTGTGAATAAATAAATTCAAATAGTGGCTTTAGATGTCATCTCTATTAATTTCCTGGAATAATCATGAATGTTAATGGTCTGCTACAGACAGTTTCCAAATGCTGGACTGCAGCAGTGAAGTAACTGGATACTATTATGTGGCTCCGAACTCTTAACTCCTTACTGATGACTCACTTTCTGGCCTCGGAGAAGCCATGAAAGTGTGTTTCCTTTCGTACAAAAGGGAATGCCTTCCTCCATCTTTTACCAAAGCTGCAAAAGACTACAGACTGCTAAGTACGGGAGACAGAAGGCTTCAGCAATCTCTGGTTTTCACTAAATGCTGTAAGGATGAAGAACCTCTTCTTATAATGCCTCATGAAAACTCTCTGTGGTCATTTACCTACAGATACAGTAGTATGCATTTGATTGCAGGGAAATGTGAATTTAGTTTAGTGAAATATTAGATTTGTCTGGTTCAGGATTAACTTAGTCTTCAGGAGGAATAGCATGTGAGTGTGATCAATTTAGCACACTTTTATCTAGTGAGTACATCCTGTACTCAGCTTAAGGGACAGTTTTGCAGAGCTTGACTATTCAGCAGTTCCGTTTGTGTGGGAGAACCAAGGTCTGATTTCTTGCTGTGGAAAAGCACAAAATAGCACTGTATTGGGTTTAGTGGCACAGTGGTGGTGGTGGAGGGGTGCCGTAGGGGTGACCTCTGTGAGTAGAGACCAGGGGCTGCCTCTGCGTTGCACAGAGCTGCTTCCAGCTGGCTCTAAAATGAACCCACCGTTGCCCAAAGCTGAGCCCTTCGGCCAAGTTGGTGGCACCTCTCTGCAAACATATTTAAGAAAGGATTAAAAATGCTGTGCAGCAGCTGTGAGAGGACTGATAAAAATGTGAGAGAAACAACCCTGCAGACACCAAGGTCACAAAAGAAGGAGGGGGAGGAGGTGCTCCAGGTGCTGGAGCAGAGCTTCCCCTGCAGCCCATGGAGAAGACCACGGTGAAGAAAGTTGTCTCCCTGCGGCCCATGGAGGACCCCATGCCACAGCAGGTGGATATGCCTTGAAGGAAGCTGCAGCCCATGGAAAGT